ATAATTGTATATAAAGTATAATTGCAGATAGGAAATATATATTTATAGGATTTTTGATAGTAATGTTGAACAAATTTCATTTCAAATTATTACAGATAGGAAACGTTATGCATAGAATTTTTATATGATACTCTAGAACAAATTTCATTCATTACTTTTAATACTATTTTCTGTATTAATGATTAATTTCCATATATAATTACTACATTAAAATAATGAATTATAAATATAAAATAGAAATATATATTATACAATTAGTTATTTATCTCGTCCAAAATTATAATTCTTAATACGGAATCACAGACAACTTAGACATAAAAAGAAGTAGAACTTAATTTAATTAAGTTAGACGTTTCGTCCCTTTATTAGGACTTCTTCAGCAACTTAATTTTATAGTTCATAATATATATTATACATTTCCCATTATAAAATACATTTGATTAATATATATCATTACTCCCAACTTGTATTTAAACCCTATTACACTCAAAATTAAATATCAAAACAAAAATACATCCCCAAATTCTCTAATAATCAAAATAACAATCTCTACCTAACAAACTTCAATACAATTTCTCTCTTACAAATACAAAACCAAAACAAACAACGAGAAATAAAGAATTATAGGAATCCCGTTGTTCTCGCGAAAAGGAAATCGATGGATCGGATCCAGAGAGATCGGAGAAGATCTTTAAATGCCTGAACGTGTCTCGTGAACTCGTTTCATCTCTTTCTCAGTCTTTCATTCTTATTGGATGCCAATAGAGGAACGTGTAGCAGGCAGCAGGAAAGTACACAGGATCCAACACACATACACCCAAATACACTCTCTTACATATACACACACAAATATACTTTTTCAAACACAAATATACTCAACCTATAAATACACGTAGATACATACATACATACATCATACATATTATACATACATCATACATACTATATATGATAAATTTATACATACACATATTCATACATACATCACACATACTATATATGATAAATACTATACATACACATATTCATACATACATCACACATACTMTACATACATACATCATACATACTATACATACATCATACATACTATACATATGTACATCACACATACTATACATACATACATCATACATACTATACATAAATACACGAACGTTCACACACATGTTGATATAGGTGGAGCATGAAGGGGTCCCTGGTTGGCCGGTTGTTATTACAGAGACTCTGGTAGCAAAGAGAGCTCACGCAAAAAGGTAGGACCTTCGTCCTTCGTCCTTGTCTGGCCGGTTGGTCCAGTCGAAGCGCGTGGCCGAAGCTGTTCGAAGCCGTTCGTTCGTTCGTTTGAACGTTGTTTCAAAGACGCGCGTTCAAAGATACCTTCACAAACTGAGTTAAAGCTTACACACACACATACACACATCTACGGCCCTGACGAGAAAAGGAACACAAACGAAGAAGACGACGACGACGACGACGACGACGACGACGTGTTGTCCACTTCGTCGAGTTCGAGGCCTTTCGTTTCTCACGAACCAAACTAGGTAGTCGTAAATAAGAGAAAGAGAGTACCACCTATATAAGAAAAAAAGAAAAGAAAAGAAAGAAAGAGAGAGAGAGAGAGAAGGATATTCTTTCTTGGTCCAGAAAAACGAGTATGAACCTTCCCCCCCCTCTCTCTCTCTTCCTCCCCCCTGTCCCTCTTTCTATCTCGTTTTTTTTCCTGTTTTTTTTATTAGTTCTATCTAACATAAAAGTGTTTCTATATCGTACTCTTTTCATTTCTAATTCGTCTATTTTATTTTATTTTTTCTTACATTCTACAAAAAAAAGAAAAGGAATTTTGTAAACCACGATTTATCTCGTGATCATTTTTTTTATTATTATTATCGTAGAGTAATATATACGTGAATTTTGAATTAAATTATGCACGATTTTATCTAACAACGAATAACAACAAAATTAGATTTTTAATTATATTCGTTTTATTAAAAATCCTAATATTCATTAATATTATATATAATTAGGATATCTCACTCATACAAAGATCAAGTATATTATATTAATCCTAAAATATTATAATCGTTAATAATTATATCCTTTATAATAAGTGAATCGTTTGTAATAATTTCAATGTACAAATATAAAATGAACAAAAACAAAACGAAATCAAGAGTGACAGAATACAAGAGAGAGAGAGAGAGATAGGGTGTGATAGACAAATAGAGAATAGTTACAGCGAGAAATAAAAGTAAAGGTGATCGGGGCTGATGGGGGGAGGGAAGGGGGAAAGAATCAAAGGATGGGAGTGGACTCATTCTTGTTGCTTCGAGGCAAGTAAGGTTAACCAAAGTGGAGGGATGCTAAGAGTATCTATCTGTCTGTCTCACTTTCTCTCTCTCTCCCTTTCTCTCTCTTTCTTTCTCTTCTTTCTTATGCAAAGCTGACCACACACAGTGCATCTTGGTGCAAGCCGTGAGACCATACCCAAGAGAGAGAACTTTGAACAAGTTGAGATTATTTTACTAATATTCACTATGAGTTCAATGTACAATTTATGCACACACACACACACAGAGATACATATATACACACAGAGGCAACACGTGATAATATTATTTCTTAAATTTTTTTTTAAATTAAATTATATAAACATTTATATAAGATTCCACATTGAATTTTTGTCCACTTTTATTTAAGTACAAAAACAAACGCATACATACATACACATTCGTAATAATATTGCATACAATGATATATTATATATTTCTACTTTTCTTATTAACACATACATATATATAAATGCACATTAATTTACACATAATGCACATTTGCATATAGTTATAATATGCACATTGCATATACAATGATATTTAGAACAATGAATTATTTCTATAATAAATTAATATATATATATATATATATATACAAAATGATTGTTTAATGTAAGAGATATAATAGTTAGATAATAATAAACGAAGTATATAAAGGATTTTCCAATGAATAATTGTTAAGTGAGAAATGCCATTGGTGTTTGCTCGTTATGAGTTGTTACACAACGTGATTAGTCGGATCATTTATCTAATTGCATCAATGCACGTTTGTTTGCTCCCTCGGAATAAGCCGGAACGTTCGTAAACGATTTACTTTCAAGGTCGATCGGATTCAAACTGCGAACGAAACGAGAAGACGAGAGAAGATGAGATGCTGTTGCTGCTGCATTCTCTCATCTCTTTCTTTGTATATTTATTTTTATTTGTATTTGTATTTTTTATTCAGTCAATAGGATTATCGAAAGAAAACGTAATACAAACATTTCATATTTGAACGAATTAACACAGCTTCTTCATCTTCTTCCTTATATCGTAATAATTCTCTTTCTCACACACACACACACACACACTGTGTGGCTCTGTTTATGTGTTTAATTCTTCGTACGTTCGATCGTTCGATTCGTCGCAGCATCGATGCATTCCTTCCTTATCTTTTACTTCAACCTGATCGGGTTAGTCTTACTTGCTTGTTTGCTTGTTTGCTTGCTTGCTTCCTTGGTTGGTTGGTTGAGCCCTCGTTAAGCTAATTCTACGATGAAATGTTGTTTGCACTCGGTTTTTACAACGAGGAAGAAACTTCGAACGAGACTTGTAATACTTCGTTATAAAATATATTTAGGTACAACACCCCCTTCTACAAGATGGAATCCTATAACAGAATTTAACTACAACATGATTCATAAATTGCGAAAATTTCTGTACAACAGTTTGTACTTTTACAGTAGTAGATATTATGATTTTGTTTTTAATGTATTTATAAAATTAAATGAACTTTAAAATAATAATGTTTAGGGGTTTAATATGAATTTTGGGTCTCATATAACACGGTTTTTACTTTCTATACATTTTATATATATGTATATATGTATTGGTTCATATTCTTATAGGGTTAATTAAAATTTTCTATTTTTAATATTTCATTTACGTATAAAGTAATATAATTAAGTTCAATAAATAATTTACACTTATAAACATAGTTCGTAAAGATGAACTTTTGATGGTTCACCCTAATAAAATGGAAGAAAACATTGTATCAAGTTTGATCTATAGGGCTTTTTCGTATATCAGATCTTATAGAAAGTTTTTTTGTTGCTCTTTTCAACTTGTTCGTCAGGAGGTCGAGGTAAACCACCGGAGAGAAATGTAAGAGATGAATGATTATGATGATTATAATGATGATGATGATAATGATGATGATGTAATCGAAATAGCAGACGAGTGTAAAAATATCTATCATCTTTATTCGTTTCATCTAAAAAAATTCATTTCCTTTTTTTTAATTATCATTTATTTCAATAATTATGATCATCAAAACGAATAATTTCAATGATTCTCAACCCGATGTATTTTCTAACACATGTTGTATATTAAATATGTCAAACAGTTATTCAAACGAACGATTAAATATTTCTCGTTTTTGAATACGAAATATCACTAGATATTAATAGGGATATTATGCGTAATAGTGTAATGACAAAATGATTACAGTTTGTATCTTTCTATCTAACCAGTTTTCTAAAAAAACTTTGTTGTACCTTAGACTTGCGTGAAAATCAACGAATTAAAAAATTATAAAAATTCTATCTATCTTAACAACCGGTAATATTTTAATTTCGAGGATATCAGGAGCAATTCTTAATGCCTATACATGCATGTTTAATAAAAATGTTGAAAAATATCTTATCAGGAAGTTGACTAACGATTAAGGAAAATTCTTAACATATTTCTACGATTTCTAAGAATACGAACAATCATTTTAGAATTTTTTTTCTTTTCTTTTAACCAACTTTTTCCAAATCTTAATCATTCTTACCGAAACGAGACTGATATTTGCAACGTAACTTTGGAGAAATCATCGTGGATTCTAAAAACTTTTGGCCTTTTCTATATCCACATTCCATAGTTTTTTAGAACGATTCGGCTTTCATCAGTTTGAAAAAGAACGGTTCGTTTCTCCGAAAGGGATGGTCACAAAACTTAAAATGAATCTTTCCAAGAAAATTTACAAATAAAAATTCTCAATCGTTTACACTTTTTTTTTGTTTAGATATTAATAGTTTTAATTTCATATTTTTCACAATTTTTGTCTTATAACTTTTCCAACAAAATTAAATTCCCCTAGGATAATGGTAATTTTTTTCTGTAAGTTTTATACCGTTGATCGATAAAGTAGATCGCGCGATTATCGATACACGCCACTTTATCTATGGTAGTTAATATTTTGTATTATCTACAAAAATTGTCCATTATAATAAATTAAATATTTTCGTTACGTGTCGAATTATATTCGCATGAATTAATAACATTTTTCTTTTTTTTCTTGTTTTATAGAATACAAGTTTTTGACGTATACACCTAGCATGGTAGCAGCTGCGAGTATCGCAGCAGCACTTCATGGACTCGACTGGACCAGAAAGAGCGGTTTTGGAATTTCTGTTCTTCTCGATCACTTAACTAGCATCACAACTATCGAACAGGTTTGTCAACTCTCTTTTCAGGATTTAACGTTACTCGATTTAATTGTTTAAACGTACCCGCCCATTCGAACTTGTAGTAGATCGCCGCCATTTTGTAAATCAAGATGAGACCCAATATACAGGTTATGTTTTACATATTACTCTAACAAATATTTCTTAAACTTTGCTACAATTTAAAATAATTTACATTTCATACAAATAAACTCAAGAATCTTGTAATCAATAATAATTAATTTATTCTTATTCATCTTTCGATTTGATATTAAATAAGGTTATTATTTCGGGTTTGAGTTGAATGATTCAATATGGCGGAGGTTTTTTCTTCTTAATGGAAATCTGAGTTAGTATGGGTCGACCTTCGACCTCGGACACACAAGTAGTTGCCTTAGAAAATTTATTATCAAAACGGTTGTGTGTTGTGCTAGACATAGGACAAAAAGTTGGATGAGAAAAGGTTAGAGAGGAAGAAGGAATGAAGGAGGGTTAAGAGAGAGAGGTTAGTTTGTTGGTTTGCAGGCAAATGAGTGTGTCGATGATGGTAGAGCAGCAGCAGCAGCAGCAGCAGGTGCCGGGCACATGTGTACGCAAAAAAAAAAGGTCGGCAAGATGGGACGAAAGAGCGGAAAAGCTTGGAAGACTAAAACGGAAAAAGAAAAGAAAAGAATGAGAAAGAGAAAGATAGAAGATACACATTCGTAATAAGTGAATATATAAATAAACTGCACGAATGAATGGACCTCGGCATGAGGTCCATGGCCTCTCACATGCAAGCACATGTTTTTTTCGGTGTTGTATGCCTTTTTTAGTTTTTAAAAAATAAAGAACCATAGTCATTCTCTCTCTCTCTCTTTCTTTCTTTAACCGTTTTAGAGAACTCATCTGCCGGATGGTTTCATTCATAATCTCAACGACCAAGAGAAAGCAAAAATCGATGCTGCGACCCCGAATCAACCTCCTCTTGGCCTTCCCTTCGTTTCTTTTTATTTGTTTCTATCACAAAAAGGGATTACACACTTTGTTTTTTTTGTATCACTTAAACCCTCTCTCGAAAGTTTCCAATGTCTCGCAGAAAAGACACTGACCTAAGATAAATTCTACACGTGTCTACACTTACGCATACTTGTTTATATTATTTAGGTGAAACAAAAGTTTGTTGAGTGTGCGTGTGTGTGTTTTTTTGTTTATTAATATTTCCAAAATTATATTCCAAAAACAAGAAATACAATCCATTATTACGAACATTTAATTTAACCTAACAAAACTTCATAAATCCGAAAATAATTTTAAATCTTGCCTCCCCTATGTAGTTCCAGATGATTAATTAATTTGTTTTGGTTATCTTTTACAGGATTATCTACGAGGATGTTTAGAACAAATAGAAGAGATGGTTTCTAAAGCACAAAAAGAGGGTAACGCATCAAACGATGACAATAGCGTTACTCGTAATGCAGAAACTGTTGCAACCGAAAACGAAGTTGTTAATGTTCCTTCTGGACAACAACAGCAACAACAACAACAACAACCACAGCAACAACAAAGGCAATTGGGGGAACAGCAAGCAACATCGCAGGAAAAATTGAACGAACATGAGAAGGCAGGTACGCCAACTGACGTCAGAGATATTCATTTCTGAATGCAAGGAAACGACGCAATGAAAAAACGATGACAACGCATCAGCACCATTTGCAGCAACTATAATAATATTAATAATAACAATAACAACAACACCACCAACAACAATAACAACAATACAATTATAAAAACAATAATAATCATATAAATTAAAATAAGAATCAACGACGAGACGCGTTGTGTTCTGATTGGATGAAGAAAAAAACATCCACGAAATTGCTTAAACAAACAATTGTTGTGTTCTAAGTTTTTTTTTAAATGCGAGAAGAAAACGAAAAATAGAAACGAAGAAGAAAAATTGAAAAGAAGAAGATAAAAAAAAAAGAAAAAAGAAAAATGAAAAAAAAATTAACAATATTCGTCGTTGAACTTTCCGTCGTTTAAAATCCTCCAAATCCTCCATCTTTCTTCTCTTTCGTTTTAAAGAAAACGGAAAGGGAGAAAGATATAAACTAAATAAATATAAACTAGATAAAGAGAAAAAAGGAAACGCCATCACGAGACTTCGTATAATCATGTAATTATTTTTTTTGTTCTTGTTTTTTTTTTTTTTTTCTGGGATTTTTTTTTTTTTTTTAAACACCAAGTAGTGGGCGTGCTGCGGGGGGAAGGCAATGCAATACGCTTTATGCATCTATTATTATTATTATTATTCAATATTA